CCCCATTGGTCAGCGGGGGGCCGCGCGCCGGAGCGGGCGGTATCTTTGCGCGCGCGCCATACCCGCCTCCTCCAGCCGTTGCCGCGCGTGCGCAGAAGGTTGCGCCGCAGGCTTCCCCCCGCCTCCGGGGGAATGGGGTCTTTCTCTCGCGCGGCCGTTGCCTTTATTCCCCTCTTTCCCCCTTGAGCCATTACTAATTGCGCTGTCTTTAAAGCGCAGAATGTAGCAAGGTTACTCGGAGGATCTGCTCAATCTGTCATGATACTCATTCTCGAATATTCATCCCCATCCCTCCCTAGGCAAGGTCTCCTGGCGGGTCACTGCATTATTTTTTTCCTTCCTGTATAAATTTCAGCAAAGTTCAAATACTCAGGTTTCTAATAAACGCTGCAAAACACCTACAATCACCACGAGATTTTGACTTTTTTTTAAGCGTTATTGAACTCAGCCGGGAGCTACTGCTGAAAGAACCGTTTGAGGAGATACGCTGCTACAAAAGCCAGCCCAAAACATATCTTAAAAAGACACATTTTTAGAGCGCACCGCACAGGACCGAGTTCATCAGCTCCAGCCTGCATAGTCATTTTCTGTCTTGCCATGCAACAGTGCAGGTACCTGTCTTCATAAGCTCTTCTGCAACATTCAATGGTGAAGTCAGAGTCTGCCATTTAAATTAAATTAAAAAAGAATGCACATCAACTTCTGCAATCTGAAATGTAAACAAAAGCTGAGACTATGGATCTGTCCACAGCAGTATTTAGAGATGACATGGAGATGACATGGAGAATTCACTTTCGCCTATACAATTGTACCTCTCTTTTCTGCTAGGGCTGGCTAGCAGCTATATGATCCATCACAGATCGCCTTACAGGTCAATTATGTACTCATCTTACAGGTGCATGCTGCTGAAAAACAAAAAAAAGAGCATGAAGATGTTCAACAACAAATGATCCACAGAAATTTTTCACATTCACTTTATCTCTCACACCAAAAAGCACCAAAATACCAAGTCCTGTCATTGCTATTCTTTCTGAACGCTTTAGGAAACGCCAGAAATGAAGCAAAACATAACGGTTCTGTGAAGTCAATGGAAATTTCACCCCTCATTTCAGAAGGACCAACATTTCACTCTTGAACTACAATTTCCCTTCACAATTTTTTATTTGGCTTTGGTATATTAGCTCTTTCTATCCTGCATGCACACTAGAAATTTGGCTGTCAGTAATAAACAGTGGTAGGTAGGCTTATTTCTGATATTACTGTTGGGGTTCTGTAATCCTACTAGATGTCCCATTTCCTAAAGAAATTTCAATTAAAACAGTCATAATCTGGTAGTCGTAATGTTAAAACACATATTCACACAGAAAACTTTAAATAGTACTGTGGAAGCAGCTAAGAGTACAAACAGTCTCCCTAGCTGGTAGATAGCCCATGTAACCCTTGTTGGACCCAAGTCCAATACTTTTAAGTTATAGTAAGGAGGCTTTTCTGCCATTATCTCTGAGTGAAACCAGCTGTAGTAGTGATGCAGTTTTGTACCAGAAGGTTCATCATTTGGCTCTTCCTCTTTGAGCAAACCAAGGAACGAGCTCATAGATGTTTTGCTAGAAAAGATCCTTTGAATCCATTCAGCCTGGTTCCTCCTGTGATTATATGTTGAGTAAAGAGTCTGCGGCATGTACTGACCTAAAAGTAAGTACAGAGACTTCCTCTTTAAACTGTTGGGTTTTTTCCCCTCTCACCGAGGTGAGTTTCTTCTCCAGCTGAGGCTGATGCAAGGCAGGCAAGAGCAGGAAAGAGGGAAAAAAACATCTGATATCCAGAGGTCCCTGGGAAGCATTATGGAAGAGCCTGAGAAAATTCCTAAACCGGCTCCCCGGAGAATCTTCCACGAGAGACAGAGGGTCACCGGTCTGCCTTTGTACTTTGAAAGTTATCTGTCAATCCGGCATTCAAGATGCCAGGTAAGGTGCACAGTCCCAGTAAGTAGATATGTTTAAACACTTTTGCAAAAATCTGCCAGTGTGAGCTGCAGACTTGGGGGGAGAAACACTTCTCAGTGCTGCCCAATGCATGTAGTTGCACCGAAATAAAGCTATTTTGCTTAATTTGCACTTTCCATTATTTCTGTTCATGCCTCTTGAAAAAGAAGTAAACCAAAGTATGTAATGTAACCGTCAATATCTCCAGGGTTCCATTATAGTTTACTGTTACCTACTGAAAAGCAGACTAAAAGTGACTGGTTTCATAGTTAACACCATGGTGAAAGTCAATGCAATATTTTTAATAACAAGAGCAAAGTTTGACATTGTAACGTTGTTCTGATGCATCCCATATTTACTGGACAATAGTATCCATCCTGAGATCTCCAGCGACACACCACTTGAAGCGTACATGAGGCATTCTATACCTATTTTTGTTGTTGTTGTTAAAGGCTGATCATTCAATATGTGTGGACTAACTGAGAAAAATAGTACCTTGATTTTTTTGACACACAATAACCATTTAAGACCCAAGTTTGTAAGTGCCTTCATACTGTTCTGTGTGCTATCGTAGCATATATTTTCAGAGCATGTCCTTAATCAAGCTGATTGCCTTTATTAGCACTTGACAACGGTGATCCTTTGTACTTAGGGTTACAAAATAGTCTTTGCCTTAACCCTACCTACACTCTCATCTCTGTAGATACAGAAGCACAGACAGAGTAGAGAAAATATGAGTTACAGAGGCTAAAGATGGATATAGTCAAAAGACGAAAATAGCACAGTGGTTCACAAGAACAAACAGGTACCACAGAAAACAGGAACTCCAAGAAGCAAAAAGCAGACTATTAGCCTTGCTGTTAAATTGTTTGCAGCTCTCAAAATTCTTCTAAGCATTGCTTTGCTGTGTCTAGCATGAGAATACCTGTATGTTTAATAAAGCTCTCTCACACATTCCTTTATTTATATACTTCTACATTAAAACTTTTTTCCTGAAGAATCCTCCTTCGGAAATGTAATCATCACCATAATACAATAATAAACAATAGCAGGCCAGAGCAATAACACACAGCCAGTCTAAAAAGGCTTATGTGATGCTGAAGAGGTATACTAACCACCTGAACTACAGACCAGACACCAGGAAAAAAGAACTCATTAATACATATTTCTTAACTGGATCTGACTCCTAAAAAGTACCATGTTACTATCAGCCACTTCAAATCATATGGCACCTTTCTGAAAAAAGAAAGGACTCTCTGTGTGCATTACTTTTACAAATACTACTCTATTTTAAGTATCTAAAGATGTCTTTAAGCAGTGGCCAGCTTCAGTTTCACGTAGTGCTGCGTTACAAGTACTACTTCCTCCTGTGCTAATAGTTCTGCCACCTCCTCCTCGTGATGCAGGTAGACTGCATACAGGGCCTAAGGAACACTTATGGCTGTGAAACACCAACAAATATTCCTGGGCTAATACTACTGCATTTCCATAGAGCACAATGCCCAATTTATAAGGTGTGATTCAAAAATTTCCCACGACATCCAGCACCCTGCCTCTCTCAGCCAAGCACTACGCCACAGCAAGCCTTCACAGGCTTCATTAACTTGCTAGGGACAGATGTTTTAAGGAGGACATTTATGTTCATAGCACACTGCAGCGCTCAGAGCTTGGGGTCCAGGGGCTGAATGCTATAGAGGACATTACACAAGTGATTTCACAGAAGCCACCAGAAAAACTAGTTAGGAGTTAGCAGTGCAGGGAGCAAGGACCACCTGCAAGATACTTTAGGAAAAATATTTTGTTCAGTCTAATTCATATAACCTTGGAGACTTGAAGACTTATTTCTTTTCTCCATTTCTGTGAAAACCTCCAACTTCATGTCAAAAAAAAAAAAAAAACCCAAACAAACCCCAAAACAAAATAGGTAAGTAAAACGAAGACTAAAACAGAACATGTATTTTACAGGTTTGCATTCCCGATTCACAGTCCTGTAACAAATACGCTTCTCAGGGGCACAAGAACAACAGAAAAACCTTTCCCGTCATTCAGGGCAAGATAGTATTAAGGAACATTTGTAACAGTCAGACAGTCGTATTTACCATGACATTTGGTTGATTACGTGCGGTTGATTTACAAACACTATCACATGTAATTTACAGACAAAGTACATGAAATATATCACTTCAAGTACAAGAAGTCCAAACAATAGGTTAGACTACTGTCAAGTTCCGTGAGAAAGGCATTAACGTGGTCTTATCCCTAAAGCACATAAACTAGCATGATCAAAATTAAATACAAGTAAGCAGTTCAAGGGAACAGTGTTCAGAAGACTGGCATCTTTAAACATGTTCCTGTTGCACGATTTTCCACTTTCTAGAGAATGATGTGCTGAGAACAACGAGGAAAGAGTTTGCTTTTTGTTTACTAGCTATCTTAAGCAGGATCGGGATCTTGCTTTTTCTGCTTTTCAACTTAAAAATTAAGCGAATGTCCAGCTCACTTTTGTATTTGTCCAAAGTATGGAGTGTCATTTTTATGCCTTTTAGGGACAGTGAGAGTTTTAAATGGTACTTAAAATATATTTTTCTTTCATTACTTATTAATTTTAAATTGACAAATGTTAAAAATCTTCACTGTTGGTTAACTGGTAACCAGAGGAGAATGTGTTTTTAAGTGCTACTCAAAAAGAATTTTTATTAGCAGGCACTAAAGCCAAGTAAAGGGGCATAGTTTACCTGCCGTCTAGATCAACGTTATAGTGATCTAGATCAACAAACGACAGAAAAGTTTTCCCATTCCAGGCCAGATTAGGACATTAGAAAGCAAAGCCTTGCGCCTGTATATCTTTGTAGCCATCAACAAATTATTTAATGAGCTTTTTTTTCTTACATTGCTTGCAAAACAAATACATCTTCACTCTTTAATGCTCTTTAAAGCACTGATATAAAAGCAAATGATGGTAAGAGTTTTTATCGGTCCCTTTACTTAAAGCATTTGCTGGGAACTGAGATTATCTTGACGAACTAACACTTCCTCCTTTCAGCAAAAAAAAGGAATTTAAAGTGTATTGGACAGAACTCAGAGGAACTATGCTCTTCTTTTATGATGATAAGAAAGCCCCAACAGTGAGTAATATGCTAGCGTTGTGACTATGCATTTGATGAACTGCATCTGTTATTTTCATCAAGTAATCCTTTAGTACTCCAGAGACTTTGGTGCACCCCTTTTCTCTCTCATAGTGAGTGAGAAAACTAGTATTAGTGCCTAACATTGTAACAGATGTGAAAAAAAAAAAGTGAAACAATCAGTAGCCTATTAATTTGTCTCATCAAAACAAAGATTCTTTGGAACCTGAGCTATAAATGTATCCACAGTTCTTCACAATGTTACTGAGTGCTTCTCAAAAGAGTATAATGTATCTTCATGTTTAATACGACATTCCTTTATTACAGCTGAGGAAAAAGTGCTTGGTATTATCACAGAGTACTGTGACTGAGGCTTCAGTTAGAGTCACAAAGCAGATATTCAGGTGGGTCTTGCAGGTTTATCATGTCTGTCAGGATGGGAAAGACTCATCCAAAGTTCACATGTAAAGTGATGGGCTTTGAGCTGACCATTGTCACTCAGGAACAAGACATTAGCATTACAATAGACAGTTCTATGAAAAGGTCACTTCAGCACTCAACAGTGGTTTAACCACAAAGCAAATGTTAGGAATTATTGGCAAAGGAACAGAGAATAAGATAGAAAAAAGATCATTAGGCCGCAGTAAAATCCCATGCTCCATGTCCTGTGCAGTTCTGACCCCTTCATCTCAAAAATGGAGACAGTAGACCTGGAAAAGATTCAGAGCAGGGCAACAAGGTGGCAAGGAACAGCTCCTCCAAGAAATGACTGAGCAGGCCGGGACTGAAGTGAGAGGAGCCCTCGGAGTACAGGAGGGAAAAGGGGTATGATGGGAGCGTCCCCTACCATTAACTGTTGGGAAAGGAGGGATAGAGATCTTCACTGCCTCTTCCCAGTGCAAGAACTAGGGTCCATCAAATAACGCAACAATCTGAAGGAGGCAGTTCTTCACACAGGCCTAGGGAACTCCTTCCTAAAGGACAGAGGTGCCAGCAGTTCACATGGATCCTAGCGGAGGTTGAACAAGTCCTTGGGAGGGTGCTCCCACAAACACGCCACAGCCCCTTGAGGAAATCCCCTGAGATGCAAGTAGCAGGGGACTGGAAGAGTACCAGGGAGCAGGTGTTACGTGCCTGTTTTGTTCCTATTCTTCTCAAGTGACCACCCCTGATCACAGTTACAGACAAAGCGCTAAGTGACACGGACCTCTGATCTGAACCAATACAACCGTTATGTTCTCTCTTGCCCCGTACAGGCTCATAGGTGCTCATGCTCTTCTATTGGAAGCAGGGAGTCACTGGGGCTCATTGGATGGCCATTGAAATGAGTCCAGCTTCTAGGCCATAAGAAGCATGTCCCTTGCATCAGTTTTGCTGAGAGGCACCAAAGAGAGCGTGGCCTTATTTTGTGCACGAGGTAAAAGCCTCCTGCTGGCAGGAGGGTATGTGCTCAAAGTGGAGATGGGTGGCCAGTGTACCCAGAGGGTACGTTGTTGCTGAAAAGAGCTTTTGTAAGCGGAAATAAGGAGCTGAGCTTTGGCATCAGTGAAACTTAACCCAAACTTCAGAAAAGAACAACATCTCAATGTGTTTTCTGCTAAACAAATTTCTTTGGAGAACAGCTAGATTTTTGGTGAATATTACGGCTTGTGCTATTTCTCTTTTTTTCCTCCTTAGTACTCACAGAAATTAGATATATCGACTTTGATCTCAGTAACTAATATTTATCTGGATGAAAATGGCTTTGCACAGTTCATCCTGAAGCTGCCGACTGTGGAACTAGAACTGAAGGTAAAAAAAAAGAAAGCTATGATTGTAAACCACTCATTTTACCATCTCTCTCATAGATATTCAGAGCCCTGCTTCTGCGGAGGGGTACTAGCTGCCTTTGTGGCCTTTAAGTCTGCAGCCAGCACACTTAAAGCAGACTGCTGCTTTAAGTTTGCACCCAAAGGCAGTCAAAGAGAGAGGCAGAGCAGAGGGAACTAACATCAGGGAAATTCCCCCCGTAGGCATTAGAAATTTCTCTCAGGATTATTTGGGAATATAAAACGAGCAAAAAATTAAGCAAGAAAATATATGAGAGAAACGAGGAAGTTCCATGCTGGCATGCCTATAACCCAGGTCACCTGTAAAACAAAGAGCACTAAAATACCTAACCATACCCCCATTCAGAAGCAATAGAGGTTGTAGTGCTCAGGGCCTACCTAGAAAGTTTTATCCTTAAGCCCCATCTCTCTGCTTAGCTCTTCCTCCTATTTGGATCCATATAACCTACTCCTTTTACTCCAACAGAGTCCCTTCCCCGTAATTGAAAATGGAGTATTGGGGAAGTGCTGGGTTTCAAGGGTATGAAGGAGCTTGGCATGCATTTCCAGGCATGGTAAAAGGGATTAGGGTTATGTGAGTCTCCCAGGCAAAAACATAGTACCTTTTTTGCTGCAGTCATTTTACACTGTCATTTTCTGCTCTCTCAGGTAGAGGACTGTGAACTTGGGAAAGAATGGAAGGGTTTTATTCTCACTGTAACAAAGGTAGGGAAGAGCTTCACATCTTGCTCTATGTCAAAAGTGTCTACGAGGGGCTTTTGTCTTCTTGTGTGCCACAAGTTGGCTTCTATAGCCACCAAGCCTTGCTTGCTAAGGTGTTTGCATGCACTGAACTCTTGGGTTGGTTATAACCACACCTAGTTTTTTTCTGAGGAGAACAGCATTCAGGGAGATTTTACCCCAGCTCATCTGCCATATACACTCTGCCATGGTATCTCATTAGACACAGATCCCATTCCACTGTTTGCTGTCCAGGAAGAAAAGACTTTTAGCAAATGTCTATACCCTACAGCTGTGGAAAAAGGAAGCGTGCTGTGAGAGAGAAAACTTTTCTTACTCTCTATCCCGTAAATATAGGAAGGGCCAAACTGCATCCCTGAGAGAACCCATCAGTCCTGTAGTGTATTTTACTGAGGAAAAAACAGTGTTTATTTCCCACAAGTCTTCATGTGGCACTTTTGAAGCAACTAAACTTATCTGCTGTTTCCCTATTATTCCAAACAGCTAGCATTCTCCCTCAAGGCTCCTTTTATTGGTCCAACAGGCAAAACTCACCGCGTTTTGCCAGCTATTAGTGTTTTAAAATGAAAAGAGATAACTTAGGTCCTGCTAGCACTGGCTTTGCCTATTTGTCTCAGTCTCCTTAAACAGCTAAACAATTTTTCTCCCCTTTCTTAATGCATGGAGAGTCTAAAGTCTCATTTAGGTGTTAAACAAATACAATCCCTAATAATTACTGTGGAATAACTATTCCCTAATAGTTTCATATAAACTTACTCTTATGCAGCACCTTCCTAGCTAAATGCACTTTGAAAACAGCAAGACTCTCATTGATAACCACCAGCGGGAAACTAAACCAAATTTATCCACAAGTGACTTTACACTGGCCTAGCTGAATCACTTAAAAGCTCAGGTTAGCTGGAATAGATTAAATTATGTGTATGTAGCCTTTTGCAGCATAGCGACCCCAAAACATTACTGTGCATTCTCACTCCTGTCAATGCACATCTCTGCATCTTGGTAAGTCAGGCCACAGATACACTTATCTCACTATTTTGATACAGAGTTGCAGCATCTTACTCAAAGCAGAAGCAACCTTCCAGTCTATCACACCTGCATAAACCAACCACATAAGAAAGACTTCTGCATGGCAGCTGCACTTTATAAATTAGTTGTGATGGCCACAGAAACAATTGCTCACAACGTTTGCCCACTCTTTCATTTCCTTTTCAACTTTGGCATTCATTTTCAGATGTCAGTTCCACCAGAGGAGTCATTATTACCTGGTCAATTTATGAGAATGCATGAAGTGCTAGAGAAAGAAAAGAAGAGGAGGATTATGCTTAATGACTCTTCAAGTGCATCCTTGAATGAAGAAAGCCCTCCCAGCAGTAACTACAGCAGTACATTGACCACTATGCCAGCGTAAGCTCCAACTGAACTATGCCAACCCCAACCTGAGTAGAGAGCCTTCCCTCCTTCTTTCAAAGTATTATTTTCCTACATAGGTTTAACATTTAACTGTTGTACAAGGGTTGCTTGATAGTCAAATGAGCAAAATCTACCTTTAAATCTGTCCTTATGGAGATTTCCTAAGGGGAAGATTATTGCTGCAGCTTTTCTACAATGGCTTTTTGGTTTGAAAAGGTTAAGAGCGTAGCATGTTGCTCTTCTAGAAGCTTTCTGAAAACCACTTGTTGGGTTGCTATATGTGTCCTTCTGAGGAAACCCTGATTCCTATTGAGAAACTCAGCTCAAGTTCTGGTTACTCATCTCACGTTCTTTGCAAGGCTTCAGAAACGATCATATCTGAACCAAGGTACCATTTTCTCTTTGAGGAGGTCAAAGCACCGCTCTCCTGAATCACATTTCTATAATAGCATTGTTTAATAAGAGTCTTTCAGATGTCTTGCCTAGCCTGGACAAGCCTAGCATTGTTAGTATGCAATAGCCTGGTAGACCACATCACTCTTTGTACAGCTCAGAACGTCAGCACCTTGCTAGCATGTATTTGTGCTGTTTCTCTCCTCCCTTCTGCGTAGGTGTTTCTATGCTGTATCTCGGCAAAAAGCAGTCGAGATGTTAGAAAAGAACCCGTCGTGGGGGAATTTGATCCTGCGGCCTGGCAGCGACAGTAAGAACTATGCAATCACAGTTCGACAAGTGCTACAGTAGGTTGATTCCACAGTATATTATCCCAGTCTTACCTAGCATGCACTGTATTAAAAGCTGAATATCCAGAGATGATACATGAAGCATATGCCCTACCTTCTGGCTCTTTTGAGAAAGGCAATTTGAAGCAGCAGGGATGGTCCTGAGACTCATTTGTTAGTTCTTTCCCCTTGCAAAGCCAGTTACATGAAACAAAGAAGAAAAATAAAGAAAAAAAAAGAAGAAATAAATAGAAAAAAAGAAATAAAGAAATCAAAAGCTGATTTCCTTGGGTGATTGGCCTTTCCCTATCTGCTGTCCAGCCATGAAAGCTTATTGAGTGTAAAAATTCATCACAAAAAACAGGTGTAAGAATAAACAAGCCATATCCCTTAGTAAAATGAACAAACAAAATGAGAGAGAGAAATGTTTTCAAGCAGTAACTTAGTCTAAAACACATCATGTTTCAACTGAATTACCACATTTTAGCTTTTGCAGAGCTTCAAAACAAGAGGCATCTGAGAGCCAGGGAACGACGTTTCCAATTCTCAACATTGCTAAACTAGAGCACGAGCAAGAAAAAACAAACCCGGCCCCACACCTTCGACAGGCCCTGAGGGTGTTACAAAGTACATCCACTGCTCCCTCGAAGGAGTTTTTGATGACAGCAATCATACACCAAAAGATATTTAATTTCTGGCAGCATATCAACTTTCCTTTTATTTCCTTTCAGTGTCCCATTCATAAAGCACTACAGAGTAATGACCAAAGCAGCAAATTATGTCATTGTATTGGAAAGAGAGGTAAGTGAGCAGTTCCCTTCTTGGAATTTCTTAAGTAGGTGTGAGAAATATTATTTTACAGAAAATTAGAAAAACTATAGTAAATTTCAAAGTATACATTGTGATAGTCAAAGTAAAGTACATAAAGAGATTTTGCTTCTTGCTAGTCCGACCAACATGGACATAAAGAAAGAATATCCTTATGAGAAAAGGAGACCTAGAAAAATTTAAAACACACACAAGCACCCAATCTCTTCTATCTCCTTCTCTACCAAAAATAAAATCAAACCACCACCACCCCCAAAACTGCTTGAAAATGGCTTCAGTTCTTTCAACTCTAACTTCAATAATAAGCCTGAAAACTGAGCTCTCATCCTAGACACACGAAGCTCAAAGTACTCTTAATGTAATTTTGAGAAATAAAATTAGCTTGGTTGAAGCACTATGAAGGCTGTAGAGACGTTTTATTCTGATTTAAAACAGTTTTCTTCTACTTTTCCTAAGGCTTGTTGTTTAATTAATGGCCTATTAGTTAGAAAAAGCATATGCTGTCTTCTCTGCTGTTATACCAGCTGCTGGAACAGCACAAGCAGGCTTCACAGTAGTCATTGAAGAACAGCCGGCTGCATACGATTAAACCTCTTGGCTTGTTTACCGATTTGATGGAAGGGAAGGCGTTATGTATTTAAGGGTCAAAATGTTACCACAGGTAGCAAATGTTACCATCCTAGACCTCACTGCATTTAAATGCTGTATATAAATCCAGTATAGGTTGTTTGAGAAACATCGTTAGGAATCCCAGCCTGCCAGCATGTTTTTGAATACGGATTCTTACCATAACCAACATAGTATGTTTTGTTTCGAGTGCGGGGTGTTTGTTTGTTTGTTTGTTTGATAAAACAGGTGACATTGATGAGCCTTCATGACGTCATCAGTTACTTTGTGACCCATACCCAAGGGAACTTGAGACCATTTGTCATGCCTACAAATGACAACATGCTGCAGGGGGCACAGCATTCTGAAGGTGAGTCCTTCAGAATCCTGCAGGCACACGTGGGAACCGTCTCACTGAAACGCAGAGACAGAAGCGGCATGCAGGGAGTTTAGTTTAAGCACTAAAGCTAAACACGAAGTGTTTCCCAGGCTAGTCTTGCATGATTTCTAGAACAGCTCTCTTAGTCTTAAACCAAGAGCACAATGTTGCTTCTCCCAGGGATATTTCTGTGATTTGGAGAGGGCATCACACAAGTAGTAGTAGTTCTCAAAAACAGGAAAATACGTATCCAAATAAACCCCAATTCCTACAGAAGACTAATTCCTATAGAAGAGTGAAAGAACTAAGGAAAAAAAAGTGGGGGAGAGAGAAGATACAGTATTTTCTATCATGTTTTACAGGGGCAGTGTACTGAAGTGAGGAAGACAGCATTTGCAGCTCACAGTGCAATAAACTCCTCATGTGACATCCCCATACCTTGTCTATTCACTTGTAACAGGATCAGCACTGCTGATAATATCTCACAGAGACAGGAGGGATGCCTCACAGTTGCTGGGGCTTTACGCACGGCCAGAGAAACAGAAAACCTCAAGTCTGGATATCTTAAACTAGGGGTTCCCAGTTCTCTGCCAGATCACTTATCTCTTACAGTATCTGAAACATGGCAAGTGGGGCAACTGGGGTACTTCCTGACTTATGAAACTGAGGAAGGGTATAAATCCAAACAAATTGAAAGATCTCCTGCCACAACTGTACATTCCTACCCCTTTCCTATGCCAGCAGGAGTGTTCATCTCTCCCTGCCAGGACCTAGTTCAGGGAACTGAACCAACATTTAACCCAGCAAAAATAAGTAAGCGTCCCTGTTGGGTAAGATCTCCGAATTGCCTCGCTGTGGGCTAAGGCGGGCCCCCAGTCACTGCAGAGGGAGGGCAGGACTGCACAGCTTGTCACTGGGGAAGGCAGCAAGAATGTGACAGCCCTGCCCCAGATCATACTGTACAGTTGTGGAACCACATCCATCCTCAGGCACAGAATCTGACTTTTCAGGAATGGGGGATCAAGCCATTAAAACAAGTCACTTAAGTGATCAGCAGTAGGATCCAACTTCAGTACTTTTCGCTCCTAAGTTCTACCAAGCAGCTGGACTGAATAAAGTGCTTACAGAATGGGGTACCTACTACTGGGCTACATTCCTTTGTAGTTAATGGAGACTGTTATTTCCAGAGCCTGGCTCTTTTCTATACACCTCCCATAGCACAAGATGAATTGTCCCTTCCTCTTCCCTGACAGCAGTGTGGCAGCAGGCACGTGGTTCAGCTGAAGACAGGTATGCTGTAGGTGCTGAAGTAGCAAGTGGCTCTACTGCATGCAAAGGAAATGTTGGACGTAGATGTACTCTTAGTTGCAGATCAAGAGTGATCATGATGCAATTTTGATTCAGCTGGGAAATACAAATGAGTTAGTAATTGTTTCAAGGATTGTGGAAGTCACTAGAGGCTTGGGAAAGTTGGTTCAGAAGAATATCTATGTTCTTCTAAAGAAGAAATAAAGTGTGACTTTATTAAAGTGTACCCACTGTATTTATAAGAGTACAATACAACATGAGGTGTACATTACAGTTGGCAGTATAAGAAGTATTTGCATTTAGTGTTTCATATATATATATAGGGATATATATATATATATATAGGGATATATATATATATATATAAAATAATAATTTAATCAAACTCCTATTGTCTTATCTCATCAATAAATTCAATGGAACAAAACCTTTACCCCTACCCCATCCCTAGACTCTGCAGGGAATAGTTTTACATGAAGTGAAATATTAAGACTTCATTCTTCTTCCTCCATGCAGGTGTGCCTACCTCAAAGCAGATGCCAGTACAGACTGAAGAGAAGACTACCTGCTGTCCAGGAGAAAGACCACTTCTGGCGTCTTTTCCTAACCAGATAGTACCACTGAGACAGGAGTGTTGTGCCCCTGCATCAAGAGCATCGAGAGCAACAAAGGGTGAGGAAAAAGCAGCTTCTGTTCCCTTTTTTTATACTGAAAGGGATTTTTAGGAGAAGTGAATTTATTACAATTTTTGAAGGTTAAGCGCCACATGCACCAAGTCTCTCCACTCATTTTAGGGTCCTGTAAATACCAACATCATAAATAGCATCAGGTCGCGTTTCCAACGGCCTCCTCCATTGCAACCTGAAGGAATGGTGTAAAAATCAGGCTTCGATTTAAGATCAAGCCAATAACATGCTGTGACTCTTCCTACTTTTTCCCCCTCCTTTGCTTTTCCTCTGTACTCCCACATTAAGGTAGTTCTGCACTCTGTTGTCATACTGAGTCCATGTTCTCCTGTAAACAAAGAGACAGGAATTGGAGAAGAGCAAGTTCTCCAGGGCAGGGTGTAACTTTCTGAGCAGGGCCTGACGCTTTGTTGCCTTAGTCCTAATTGGGACCCTTCTGACACTACTTTGCAGTCACATACACTATTCCACAGCTGAATGCAAGCCAATGTTTTAAAAGAAAAAGCCCCAACATATACATAATATTCTAAAGTTTTCTAAACAGCATAAGAAACATTTACAGTCCATGACCTAACGCTCACCCAAATGTGTTCGATAGAAGAGGCAACTGCCAACCTTTGACACTGCTAGTGCAGCACAAGGGCAGGACTCGGCTGCAGCTTATTTCTACCTAGCTACACAGCCTAGCAGCTCTGATACTTTAACCCTGTTCTCCTGCTGATGTGAGTCAACAGGACACGAGGTGAGCCGAGAATAGAAATGAAAACCCAGCAAAACACACATGACAAACAAAAGAAACACATGGGTTCAGTATCCAACTCAGTAGGGCTTTAGTGGGGATGCTAGTGGTGATTTAGTTGGTGCTATTACTTTGCATGCTGCAGTGGAAAAATGGAAAGTACAAGCTCTGGCTAGGAAGTTATAGTGGCCACAACACTTCTTAGAGGGCATCTTCTCATTCTCTGGTTTTGAGATTTTCCCCTCCTTTTTCTCCAGAGTTTCACAGACGAGAGACCAAGAAAAGAACAAGAAAGAGGCAAGAGGGGCTGGAAAAGGCATGAATCAACCAATAATACTGCAAGCAGGAACTCTCAGCAAGCCCTTGAGAAAGGGAAAACTACCGGGGGGGGGGGGGGGGGTAGCTTTTGAAATCCCTTTGGTCCAATCCAAAAAAAAAAACCAAGACCAACATGTCATCCTACTCTGCTGGCCAGCTGCAACTGCATAACGTACCAATGATTTCAGTGGCTTTCCATAAAAGAGCAGCTCTTTTATTTCAAGTTTGCAGCTTCATCTCTTGTTAGCATTTCCATACGGTTACATCCATCTTCTTTAATGAAGAAATAAAGGCTATCGCTTTAGATTGTGAATTTTTTGTATATTTTTGTTGAGCAACGATTATTTTTTCCCCACAACATCAGAACTTTCTTTTCATGAAAATATTTAAGACTACTTTGTGAGGATGGTGCTACTCTGCATGTACTACGTTAGAGTCACAGCTTTTTCTTAGTATGAAACTGAAACTTGCATGTTGCTGTGAGAAGTGGAAGCAATATTTTTTTTGCTGTACCTTGCCTTCACCATGCAAAATGATTCATTTACTAACAGAATAGTTTTACTAGTGTGATCACCAGTGCTGTAATTCTGATACTTATTAAGGCTCAGGGTTAAAGGTATTTCTGCAGAATAGACAGACACCCACACTAGCTGTTTCATCAACCACATAGAAGATACTAAAAGACACTTTTACTAAAATAATCTCTCAGAAGTTAGCTGGTCATAACATACAACCCTTTAGACAAAAGTATAGATTGCTGCGCTATTCTGTGGCAGAGTCTAATTTCTGGCATTACTAAACTGTAGATAATTAACAGAGATAGATCAATCTTCCAGCACACAGAGACAAAATTAAGCCAGTTGCATTTCTGAAATTAGTTTCCTTTTTGCATCAACTGGCCTACAGCTGCACTGTTTCCAAAGATACAAGGAAATATTAAGAACACAAACTTATCTAAAGCCTTGACTTACCTTTGATGCAAGTCAGACATACATATCAAACTCTCTGCCCAGACCAAACCTGCTAAAAGAGCCCCAGCATTCCTTCAGGATATGACATGTCATGATTAGGTGACAGAGAGAGTTTCTGCAAATGCCTAGCTAGTTCTAGAAATTTTCTATGTATTCAATATTCTTGAATAGCACTTTTTTTTTTTTCCCCCCAAATAGATGCACAAACATTCAGAAAAGGGATAAAAAGAAAAACTTGTACTTTCACTCACTGGGTATGTAAAGTCTTAAATCCACCTGAACTACCAGGCTTTATCTGCCAACAAAGTCTTTGTTAATAGCAGCATAATCTTCATGCAGAATCCCTGCTACTCTTAGCATTAGAGATACGGAGACTGACCATAGAAAACAGTTGAACTAGTGGCAAAACAGCTGGTGTTTTAGATGCACGAGCCTTCCTGTAACTATTAATAGCTATGAGAAATTAAGGAAAAGGGAAAGCTAATGTGAGAAGATGCTGAAAGAAAGCAGTGGAGAGAAAGATTGTGAATTGTGGTACAAAACTTGATCTCTGCAAATCAACTGCCCTTGCAAAAAATAACATAAAGGAAAGCTGTTCAAAGTGTTCTAGCAGAAGACCGTTCTTCACTGCTGCAGGGAGATGGCTAGCTCTAGTTGTGGCCCAGGGAATACAGCATCAAACAGTCCTTGACACACAGCTTTCTCTACAAGGCTCAAGAACAGTTACCACATTCTGGGTAGCGCAAGAAGCTTCTGCACTGCTAACACCGGTAGTGACAGCACTGGAGTTCTGACTGATCAGCACCTCCTGCCCAAAGTTCACTTGCCCAGCTTGAGTGGATTTCTAGTGCTGCTGCTTACCAGACTGAGAAACTGGCTATATCAAACAAAGTCCCACTGAATCAGCTCGCTCCACTCTGCACAACCTCTAACATGAGAATGTTCACCCCTTACATCAGCAATTCAGAAAATTCTGAAACATGAAAAACAATTTTAATCAGCTGCTCAACATGTACAGTTCTTCCATATAAAGCCCTCTTTTGGTTACTTGTAAAGTTTTACCTAGGTAAACCTACATTCAGAAAATTTTAAAGGTCTGTTAACGAATATAGAAAGCCATTGTGAATTTTCACATTTTCTACCATCGTTTGTTTAACTGAGCAGAAGCCATCCATAGAACAAACATCCATCCAACAAATGGGCACAATAAGAGCAATATAGAGGTACAGCTATATCTGTTAATTCTGGCCCTGATACCTGCCAAGCTCCATCTGGAATTTTTGGCAAGGTCTCACAAAGCTGTATGTGCTGTCATTAATAACACCATTCCATTAATTAGATCTGAAAACTTACTTTAAACCCTGAGGGCCATCAGATGACGTTCCAGCAAAGTACAGGGGCTCATACTATTTTTATATGCTACTTACTTTAAAAGTATAAGCATGATGTTAACATCACAGTAATGTATCAGAGTGTACTTGCTCAAAGTTTCCTAGCCTCTAATTTTGACAGGTGACAGTGCTTTTGATTTGCCCTAAATACTTATTAAGTGATCGTTATCACCAAGGAGCGATTTCAGTTAGAATTTAGATTTTAATACTGCCACAGGGAAATATTCTTCAGTTACTGCTTCTGCTGGCACCCTCTCTGCACTCTAAAGGTAGTCATCTTTTCCTCCCGTTTCAAAAAGTTTCTCTAAATAAGTTGTTAAAAAAATTAAATAAGTTAAATAGTTTACAAAGCAGTATTATTATTCTATAAAATTATATCTATAAACTATACTGACTGTAAAACTATATACATCTTCCAGAAGATATACTGCACATAAGACTAAGTCCCAAATATTGGAATAATTGTGTTGATAGCAGCTTTTCAGTTCCATACATCTTAGTGTCCAAGTGCCCAGCCTAATAGCTTTTGTTCCTGGCTACAACGAACTGAAAAGGAAAAAAGGAAGGGAGGGTGGAAATACTGATCAATAATGTTAGTTAAATGTAAAGATATCCCTAAACCTCAATAAATTATAATCAAGGATAAATAATTCTAAGTAGTCAATAGCTTTTGCAACAGCTGCATGAAAATACTGTGCAGTCACTATTTCCAAAGCTTAAGTAAATTAAAAGCTTTTCCAGTTCAGTAGGTTTTTATTCCAACCTCATTTCACTCTATCATCATCAGGAAAAAAAAAAGAAAAGAACTATCAGCTCAACTATCCAGTGTTTAACTGATAGCGAAAAAAATCAGATGTTGTCACAGATGCTTCTGTGCTGCACCTCTTCCTCACCACAGCAGCAAAGCTGGTCCTTAATTATTTCCAATTAAATAGATTCTTCAAACTTAGATATCCAAGCAACTGATTGAAGATGACAAAAAGTGTTCAGTGTAACTCAGACTTGCACTGTGGACAGGCGTACAGCAGAAGCATTCATTATAAGGAAGCAGTACCAAATGGAGCAGCTGAGGAAAGTGACAAACCTGCAGGGCCATTTGCCCTTCCTCCTTTCAAAGTCATCTCTCACTACAGTGCTTTTCATTTGGTGAGGGCAGAAAGGCTTGACCACACCAAACGTTTTCTCTTTCTTGGGAGACAAAAGTTTTATCGTGAAAGTATTGGCTCAGCTCTCCACTAAGGGTCCACTTTCCCCTATTGCAGTATTCTCCAAAAAAGTCTTAAGTGTCGATAACGAACAACTCCAGCTCTCTTGGCCTCAGGGGAGCTATGAGAATTTACACCTGCTGGAGACTTGCCTCTGTATGTTTCCATGTTAAGACTGACATAAAATAGCTGCTCTAAGATACAGCATTACTAAGAGTGCAGAAGAAAGCGCCGACATAACGAAGCAGTTCACCTGCTTTTATGTGGGATTTTAGACATATGGATGGATTATCCCTCATGTGTAGATGGCAAGGCTGCAATTCTAGTTTTAGAAAGAAATAACATAGGAAATGAATTTGAGATGTTCTCAGAACACCAGGAATATCATAAAACAGCAGTTTCCCCAATTTTTGCACTCTTCTCTAAGCAACACTTAACTTGCACACAGGGATAACTTGTTAGGTTCACTGTTGTTCTTACTTTCTTCAGCTCCCCACAAATTAACATAAATCTTGTCTTTATCATAAGGACTGTACTGGATGTTCCATTTCACGGAGTGACCAATCCTCCTTTTGGAGAAAACAGGTCTGAAGAAAACAGGAGCAGATGAAACATAAATCCAGTTTGTCTTCAGTGTAAGCCACTGATTTTCACCGTTTGTTTTAATTAAGGCTTCACCAAAAAGAAACATATAGTACCATCTTTAATAGCTGAAAATTAGCACACTCCCTTCAAAACAAATGGTCCTGGAGTGACTTTTGCATCTCTACCATCAATTGTCTTCCTGAACAAAGTAGTATCTCACTGGTGGCCCTGGCAAGTCTTCATCTCCATCAGTCTCTGGAGCAAATGATACTGTCAAATCCACATACTTTTTGTCAGCTGATGGTTTCACAAGCTTTTGCATCCTACAAGGAAACGAAGAACAATTTGTTAAGATACCAGAAGGAGGAATGGTGGTGGAAATTCAGTGCCAGACAGAGATGAATTTCATTCCTAGCAATGAAGTCCGACATTCTAGAAACCAGATCAGAAGAGGAGAATGAACCTTCTGTCAATATAAACACACAGGTTGCTACTGCACCAGAGGTGCAGCAAGTGGACATCTGCTTTTCTTTCCAGATTTCTCAGCCTGTTACTGAGCTATTACATTGCTGATTAAGAAGTGCTCAATACAAAATAGAAGATAAAATGGCCACGTCAGGATGAGATTCCTCACCTGCATGATTTTTCTTTGGCTTCCTAATAAGGAACAAAGCAAAATCAGCTCCTGCCACAGGAGGTCAGCAGGTATGACCAAATTCCAGGTTTACTAACAGCTGTTTTTAATACCTCTTCTCCACAGAGTACGATTAGGAAAATCTACTCCAATGCAGATATTAGATACAAAGTTCTCATGGAGAGTAACTCTACTGAAGTTAAGACTTTCCACATCCTTGAATTTTGACAGTGAACAACAGTGGGGGCCGGGGGGAACAGCCAAGATCTGGCACTTCTTCCTTGGTGACCACAACATGAGCTTAAACAAGGTAAGCATCACGTACTAGCGCTGCTTCCCTCCTTCACTCTACATCTTCCCATTACTGCAGCACAAGCCTCGAAAGCTACAGCTATTGCTTTGAGGTTGCACAATAGAATACTGAAGTGGAAGGCCAATCAACATCACTTTCATTATAGCTTGGGACTCTCAAAACTATTTTCCTGCTAATTTGATCTCGCAGCACCAGCTCATGAGGCTAGTTCAAATGCTAGGAGACTTAGGGAACACAGTCATTCAATTCTAATCCTTACGAGACCCCTTAGGGAAGGATTTCCCTTCTAGGCGTGCCTTAGTGCCCAAGCTGCTTTCCCAGAAGTCTCTCGCTCCCTTGCGAACACAAAGCACCGTCCTCTTCACAGAGGAGATATTGAGGTCACATCCACGTTGCTCACGGCTTCCTCGTGCAACAAAACACGGCAGAACACTATGCATCTAAAAATTGCTCTTTAGAGTCTGCTACCAGCCAGTCCTGAAACTCCAAAAGGAAGACTGAGTCCTGCAACATTTCTTGTCATGCTACAGCAAAAGTAAAGATTTTAAACACCTTAATAAACAATAAATAAATAAAATTCCCACACCGCACAAGCGAGACTAGAATTTGCTGTGTAAATATTCCTATAATGATTTCAGTACTACTTGTATCAGGACGCCCAAGTTGCTGCAGCTACATACAAAGTTTGTTGTGAACTGAGTTTCAGGATAATAGAAAATCCTGATAGTCACAAGAAGGCAGCTTCACACCATGCCTTCAACCTTATTACAGACAGCACTCACTCAAAATCATTTATACAGCTGTAGGAGAAGGGATATAAACAACTTACCCTGAGGTAGGCTATACATTTACATCTTAGTAATACTATCAGGCGCTCTATGGGAAGCGTCAACCTAAAGGCTCTTCTCTCACCAAAGCAGATTGCCCATAAGGCACACTACTTTCCCCGATACCTTCGCTCTAGCAAAGCCTTCCTGGGAGTAATGACCAACATACACTTCACAGAAGCTGTCATGAACAGAATTTGACCTGAAGAAGTTCAGTCATCATATAAGGTAAAACTAAAACCAGGTCAGATGCAACTGTTAATTTGCAAAGGCCTACCAATTAGAAAAAGCTTCCTTGCCCTCACACCCTACCAAGCCTACAGTTTGTTATACCCCAGTCTCCTATCAGTGAGCAGTACTGGAAAGCCTTGCAGGCTTCTTTATTTTTGGAAGGGCTCAAGTGAGCTAAAAATCTCAAGGAATTACTATGTACTGGACAAACTACTGCAAATCTCAGTCTACAGCCAGATACATTAACTTATTCCTGAGTAAGTGTTCTCAGGCTTTCAGAGTCAAGCCACTAAATATCACCATTAGTTTTAGGCCTGTTTCAAAAAATTTCAAGCAGTCTTCTGCTTCAACCAGGGCACAAACCAAGTCACGTTATTTCCCCAAAACTTTGTGCCAAACTTCTTTGGGTTTCTCATTCCGGCCTTCATCAGTTAAAGCACCATTTTGCAAGTCTCCTGTTCTCAGCACAAGAGTTAATTCATTTTTTAAGAAGAAATTATTTTTTCTTCCCCTCCTCACCCCTTCTTTTTAAAAATAGAAACCACTCTGGGAGAAAATAGTGCTATACGACTCTCAGATTTATGATAGAGCCAGTTAACATAACTTGTAGGTGCAGTCACATCCCTGGATCCATTTTTCAGTTATACTTACGTCAGCTTTAATCTTTTAATATGACCAGGCATCACAGGAACATACAGCATTTTGACTCCCTGTACAACCATAGTTGGTTCAATTCCATATTTCTCCTGGAATTTACAAATTAAAACTTATTAAAGGAGTATGCCATCTGCACAAGCCAGCAGATCCAACTAGTGCTAATGCTACAGCTAGCAGTCAAAAACCACAGGATCCTAATAAGAAAATATGCTAATGCATGAAATACGACAATCTATTAAAATAGATTTAAATAAATGGAATTACCAAAGAATTTCAAATTAGGCTTGGACATGCTTACTCGAAGATTTATGTTACTATTACTATTCACATGAATTCTTTCTAGAATTATTCTAGTTTCAACAATAACTCTACAAAGGCCTAAACAAAAAAAAAAATCTTTCCCCTTATTTTGTATTAAACCAGCACTACAACAGACGATATCTTACTCTGACAGCATTTATGAAGTCCAAGAGAGTAAAATCCTCTTTCCCATAAATTGTCCACCTGTCCCAGATTGTAAATGATATCCCATTTCTGTTTTAAAGAGAGAAAGATTGTTTGTTACTCTGCAGTGTAAACTCAGGCACTTCCTTTAAACATATATTGAAGGACTGCTATCTCTTCTGGTGATTTGCTGTTTTACCTTGAGCAAAAAATCTCCTCCCTCTCTGCTGCCATTTCTCCTGCCCTTTGATCTGCCCAAGCATAAAACACTCAAAGTTAAAACTCTATAAACACAACACCAACCGGCAGTGAACTTACTGAGCTTTCAGATCTACTGAAAAATAGGCTTTACATTGAGCAAGATAAATAAGCGTGTCCAGTTTGAGCAGACAGGATGTTTATTAATAACAGTGTTGCATGTCTACCTTGTCTAGATTTTTAGAGCCTAGTAACAAACAGCTTCCACTAAAAACAAAACTAGGCCCTTAAAACCACCAGTTTTAAAATTAGGACAGAAGAACGTGTGCTGCATTTTCCAAACAAAGTTCTTCAGCTATGCGTTACAGGACCACCTTGCTAGAACTAAGAACATCAGTTACACCTTTAGTACTACATAGTAAATGGATAATAGAGTTTGATAGCAAGCACTAAGTGATCCACGATCGTGCAGTTTAAAAAAAAGGAAAAAGGAAAAAAAAAACCAAAAAAGAAAAATCCACCCTAAACTTGAATATCTATATATACCTATAACATTTAACTGGAATATTACCATGAACTTGTGGTTGCATTGTATTTCTTCTAGATGAGAAAATAAGGCCTTCAGATAATCTTAATACAATTATGTGGATTTAATACTATACAAACCTTGCACTTGATATAATATCACACTAAGAGTCAAATGTCAGGTTTCTAGAATACCATCATTGTCCTTCCTACCTTATTTCAGTTCTTCTTACTTCAGCAGTTTCTGTGAAGACTATTATCGGAATGGCTAAGTTCAGAAAACAGTTCTTGTACACATCAGCTGGATAGCTACCCACAACTTTGATGAGTTCCAGTGCTACCTGCAATAAATACAAATCAGATGCTTCCATAAGACCAAACACGTGACCTAAAACCTGTGTAATCAACACTAATTCAGTTAAGACGCCACACAACTGCAGCGTAAGATGTACATGAGATTGGCCTTTATTCAGTCAGGGTAAGTCACGTCCACAGATGCTACCCAAACACTACAAAAATCAATAATGTTATTGCAAATCAAAATATTTCAATATGCAAGAATATTTCTACTGGAGGACTCTTCCAAATTCTTTCATCAGTGCTGAAGTCAAGACACCTCCGCAAAATATGTGGTTCCATTAAGGTATAGGGATGTGAATACTTCAGAGTAGATCCTTCCCAGTCTTGACACTGGCACTCTTGAAAATTAATAGGAACTGCAGAAAACAAACCAAAATGTCAATCTCCAATTCCTCTTTCTGGTCAGAGAGTCAGGAATAAAAGTACTGTGGGCTTACCACAGCTAGAACCAATAGCAACTCTTTGGACTGTTACAGAAGAGAAAAAAAACTATATATATATATATATACACACACACACACACACACATACATATATATACACACATACTGAACTTTTAGTCTCCACATGGCATGATATCTGCTCCTATGACTGAGATACCTCTCACCTACTGCTGAGCCTTTGGCTAAAAACCAAAAAACCAAAAAACAACAAAAAAAACCCTCCCCAAACATCACTATGTGAATTAAAACTGTGAGACACAAGCATGCTTCAGATTTTCAAGTCCCACATATAAAATGCGTATCTTCATGTTCGCTCCTTGACTGGTAAGGTATGTGCTGTCTTACATGAAGGGTGCATATATTTTTAAGCAGTAGAATAAAGAACAGCTCCAAGTCTTTGATACTGCTTTAATGTGGTTCTGCTATGCTCTTAATTCCAGGTTGCTCCCTGATCTTGCAAAGATGGAAGCTGGTGGGAAGGGCATGCAACACCTGCTGGGAACAGCTAATACTGATTAAATACAGCTCTCTTGCCTGTATTACCAAATAAGAGTCTGTGCACAGCATGTGCATAATAAAAACCCAGCTCCTTTTTTTCAGGGAGAGCCCTACTCCTCTCTGTGAAGATTCAGAGGTCTTTTCCTAGATCAACACAAGATGCCCAGCTTGCAGTTCCACTGACCAGGAAGAATTTCCCTGTTGTTCCCTGTCTAAAATTCAAGATCCTCTTCAGAGGAGAAATAGTTGCATTGGAAGATTCACTTGTCTTACAGCAGGGAGTTTTCAGCACCTATTACTTTCCACAGAGTTAGCTACAGCTACATACAGCTTTAAGCGCAGAAGCTACTTATCTCATGAACTTGGTCTCAGAACTCATAGCCATTCTAGGACACAAAAACACCTCTGTTCACCTTTGGCAGGATTCCATATGATTTACTTGAAAATATTTATGACACATCGTACTGATAATTAACATCATCGAGCGACTATATCATTGTGATTTTCAACGATTTAAAAAAAAAATTTCTTTAATGGGGCTCTGTCAGGGTAGCATTAATCAATACACAGACAATGCTGGTTTTAAGCAAGGAAAAGTAACAAGGATAAACATTTGTTTCAACATTTTGCCAAAGCTCTTGTAAAACAGCTTCTCAATACAAAACCATACTCACCAGCCCTGATACCGCAGCAGTAGCTGTTGCGATTGCAGGAATGATCTTTCCAGCAATGCGCTTTGTTTTGAACCGATCTGCCAGTTCAATGTTGTACATCTTGGCTCGCAAGTTTGATGCGGCTGTTATGAAATCTATATGCCCATTACTATCATCATCTTTTTCGAAGGAGATGGGCTTCATTTGCAAGTCATCTACTCATGGGAAAAAAAAGCAAAAGTAGTCATCAGAGCACTGAAGGTGTCCTGAACATAAGCTGTAGAGAAGTAGAACCTTAACAAACTAAACATTTCAAGTATTAGAACCTGCTATAGGACTTTTAACTTGCTTTTCCAGGCTAGCAGGGAACACCCTTCCGAACACCAGTGACGACAGTTGTTAGACGTGGGTAACGAAAGAGAACGTCAATGAGGATGTAAGAATTGATTTTCCTTGCAACACCAGAAATAGATTTTGGACAATCCTGTGGATGTCTCTTATTCCTCCTACCTCCTTTAGTTCCCTCCTTCGAGGATTCCCTCTGTAAGCCTTGTTAGTCTGTAACCATTTCAGTATGGGCTCAGGCACATTAACAAATTATTCTCACTACATGTTCTTCAGTGGTAAGTTGACCCATGGTAACAAAAAGCCCATGTGCTTTTAGTGTTGGAGAGATGGTTAAGGGTTGACTCGCTGTGGGTTAAAGTCAAGGTAATCTTTCTCCCCTGTATTCACAGGCTAAGAATGCATACATGCAGTTGTTGCTCAGTGACCTTTTCATGTGGCCAAGCATTGAAATGGGATTTAAATATCCACATTTTAACAAATCTAGAAGATGCTGAAAAAGACCATATTAGCCTTCACAAATAGGATAATTTCAGATCAATTCCTGTAAGAAATGGCTCAACCTTATCATACCACACTTTCTTGCAGTCTATCTGGGATCTAGTCAGGATCATTGCCCTCCTTAGAGTTCAGTGCCCTGCTGCCTGCTCACAGTAATCATGACTATACCTATGCATAAAAGAGAATCCTAAAACTTGCAGGAATCTCAGAAAGAGAGCAGCATAGGGCAATGTCAAACAATAAGGACAGTTACCTGCATGGTACTCTAGAAAGCTTTAGTAAACAGCTACTTGCTTTTTGCAGAGTTACTGAGCAACTTTATTCAAGGACTTGAGTTCCATGCTACTGGCAGTGCAATTGCAAGCCATTACTAAGCCATAAAGCTAGTTTTCACTACTCACTTTCCAGGGCTTCATTGGATAGTATAGACTTCTCCAGCTGGAAAATAGCATTTCTTTCATCTTCACTGCTGACCGGAATATGATCCGGTTTCCTTGCAGTTTCATCTGTCTGTACAGCCTGCAAGTGTATGCACTGCTTGAGTAATTAAATATATTATGCTACTGCACAACGATATTAGACTTGCTGTCTTCCTGGTATTACTATCAACCCCTCCCCTCTAAATATTTTCTACAGTGAAATGCAATAAAATGACAACTGCACAGTTGCTTCAGGTTTAAGACTTCCTTTTCTAGTTACAATGCCAATTAAAAACATCTTCCGGAAGCATGCAATGCAACACAACTGCATGCATACAAATTCACAGTTCCCAGGAGTTACATATAAAAAAACCTTAGTCTCTGCTGCAAATATTTTAACCAATTGCAGTTGGATGGGCCTATCACAATGCCAGGTAAAGAGTGAGAATACCCGTTCTGTTTCATTAGGCAAGCACTCATGAGACAAGCGTTAATACTGGGCAAGTAAATATGAGACTACCCTAGAACAACTTATCTGCTACTTTACATCATGACAAACGCTAGCCACTGCACAATAAAACTTAGAGTACTCTGAAGTAACACATCAAATACAAATGTAAAAGTGACAACACTTTCTTAATATTTCCTAGAAAGAAATAACAAATTGGCACTGATCAAGGATTATTTTAGAAGCTGTTAATGAAAGCAGTAAAATCATTCAAAAGCAACATCACTATTGTACAGGCCTAGCAAAGCTCATAGATTTTAAGATCATACTTGCACATGGAAAAAGCTAATCAAGAAGTCATATGCAAGAGCCCAAAAGAAAATTCACTTTGTATTTAGCATCTGGTACACAGATACCTTAGCCATATAAAGTTAAGGCAATCCTGCATGCCACACTCTTGTTTTCCCAAGCAACATTTTCATTCACATTTATTTCTGATCAGCATCAAATGTAAAAAGTAGTGGGAAGTCTGGGACGCAGAACGTGGACTCCTTTTTCTTCTTTATATTAAATAATTAACTTACTTTGTTTGAAGGTCTGAACTCCGGTACCTTTACAGCGGAAATTATTTTCAAAATAACTTCTTCTGACAAATCCTGTTTTCAAAGAAAAACAATTTACATTCTCATCAACTCAACCCCTCCTCCCCCAAGAGATTCTATGCCCAGTAGTATTTCAAATATCCAAACCAAAAAACCCCACAAGTAGTCAAGGGAGGAAAAAAAAAGTATAACCCTTGCATAGACACTCCTATAACCATTTTGCTATGAAAAGTAAAAATAGGTAAAACGCAAGCATATCTTTGTAATAAATGTAAGATTTGTATGATTTTGATAGGCATGAAAGTAGAAATGGATACTGCAGTTAAAAGTCAAACATAAGAAAATAATATCATCTAGCATTTAAATGTAGTTTAAAATGTCTGTATTGCCTTTTGTCCAAGCACCAATACACTGGAACTGAAGGCAACCGGGAAGCTTGAGACAGCATAACTACTTGTTATCACACATCTGATTTTTGCAGAAATGCCATGAGGGAAGATGTCATGTTTCTTTTATCTGGTGTTTGCAGCACAACTGGCAGGGTAGCTGCGCATTCATGGCAATTTTGCTCTGCAAGGCACAGTAACTCTGACCAGTCTAGAACCTGTCAGCCTCACTGCACTGCACCTGGATCCATCTCTGACTTGCAACTCCTAAGCACAAATAGGAGAGCATTCCTCATGACACTATACTTTAAGTGGCTCAAGAAATCCGGAGCCAAATGTAAACATGACTTGCAGGAAGATCCAAATAGAGAAAAATAGGTCAACAAGAAAAATAAAGAATAAGCAACATAGAGGCTGTGTGAATAGTAAAAAAAGAAACAAAAAACAATTTTAAAAGGCCTTAGGGATATTTTGTTTCAGTTCAGCTGTTACATTGCACAACAAATAGATCTATCAAAATAAGAATTTATGAGTTCAGCGCTTGCTGAAATTATTTCATGTGCTAGTCATTTATTTTTCTTATTAGGAACTCAAATAAGACTAAGTGTAACAGTTGCAGGAAAGCCTGCGCTGAAAGACAGATTACTTTTAAGAATCATTTTAATCAGTACTTGGAAGGGACTGGCAACAGGACACGGGACCAAAACTCAGTATGAATATCCAAGTTATGAGATTAGAATGTTGTTACAATATGGATTACCTTTTCCGTGAAAGGAACACAGTACACTGTTGCAAAGAGTTTTGCTGCACTCACAATGAAAGCATAGTGCCTGAAGAAAAGAGAAGTTCTTTTTCACTTCGCTCGCCCAAATGAAGGTTTGGGATCACATTCAAACAGGTCTTGAGGAAACACTCCATGAAACAGAATTTCTGCCCTTTGGAGCACACAGTCCAAAAATGGATGACAGTTGTGGAAGGACTCAGAAGTTCTCTCCAAAACTAAGCACCCTTGGATGAGTGAAGAGGTATTTAATACTCGAGTAAACCGTGTTTACTTAACCTCTGCAGTCAAGAAAAGGACCACAAACCCTCACAAGAGATTAGCGTGGTCAATATAAAGCTTCACCCAGGAAGACTTCTATACTTACAATAATCTCAGTTTTTATACAAACTAAGAATGGAGATGAGGACAGTTTCTCAAGGCAGACACAGACATGCAGCAGATCAGTGCTTTCAGATGTGTCAACCACATCAAGCTTTTAAAATATCTGTAACACCCAAGACATCTAGATCAGCTCCAAATCACGAGGAAGGAGAAACGGCTTCCCATCACTAGGTCATTTTAGGTAGTCAATTTATTTGGCACACCCTTTGTTTTATGATGCAGCAGTGCAAGGATGAGAGGGGGGTGAATACTGGCACAGCTTCCCATAACGCCCTCCTACCCAATGCTAGTGAAAGTTAAATTACTTGCAGTGAAAGTGAGGCAGTTTACCCAGTCTGCTACAGCATAAGACTGTACGCTAGTTGCTAGCACTCAGTAGCCAATCAGCTATCGGTCCAACTTCTAGAGCTATCTTGCACTCTCCATGGCTGTGGGATGAGTTTTATAGGATATAAACTCAGGATGATCAGAAACGCACATCTGGCAGTACCATACTTACAAAGGATCACTAAATTCAAACTTCACTGGAAAAGGTGGTCTCTTTGGTGACTGCCAGAACAAACCTGATAAGAAGATAGACTTGAGATGAAATCCTAAGCAATCAGAAATAGTAACACATGGTACACTCCATGAATTCAGAAGCTGTACAAACAGATGTTTGTACTTACTTCCATCTTTTAATCGTGTATCAAGGGGAAATGAATGAAGGAGTTGAAGAGCCTAGAAGAAAAGCCAGAGTAGATTTAGTAATTTGTCATACACAGATTGACATTAAGCTCTCTAAATCAAGCCTTCTTTTTGGTAACAGTGTGAAATCTTGTTACAGTTTTTAGGACATGCCAATTACAGAGTTGAAGTCACTTGAAGGAAAACACAAGATACTTGTGTCAAGGTGGAGACCTCAAAAACACAAGTACTAATAGAGAGCAAAGAGTGACCTGCCCATTCATTCACTGCATGAGGATGACAGTACCACCTCATCTTTCCCATGTTCGAAAAGATACTTAACCCAGCAAAGTGCCCCCCCTACCTCAGCATTAGTTTAGGATGGTTGCATACCAGGTCGCAACTAAGAATGCAATGTTTTCTTAACATGACAACTATCAACATCAGCAGGCCTTCCAAATAGATATGGTACATTTATTAATACAAAACATCACAATCATGTCTTTCCTACACAATTCCTCCCCTCCACACAATTAAGCAACGCTGTGTACCAGACTTTCAGAATGACTGACAAGTAGACATATTTCAGCCATCCTTTCTGTGAAATCTTTGAGAAAATCAAGGATATCAATATGGGGAGTTAGGTAACAAGAAGTTTACTGGAAAAAAAGCTATAGTCCTACGTCAATAAATTCCTTCAGTAAAGACATCTGGAAAAATATCAGACCTAGTCAGCTGGAAAAAAAAAAGGCAAGACACCTGTATCAAGACTGCTGAATAGAGCCACTAGGCCTTAGTTAATGCACCAGGCTATAAAACTCAACAGTAGAAAGGGGAAGGGATGTAGTCTTCCTAAGACACTACAAAATGCATTATTTATGGAGAAGAGATGAAGCGTGTTCAAAAGACTTGATACCTAATTATTAGGGTACCAAGTTCTCTAAAAATCTTTATCAATCAAGTGCCATCTCACTTTCAGGTCTTACCTACATACCTTATGGCTAAAATATTTCTCAAATTTTACTCTTGCTAGTTCCACACACTGAGTCCAATTTCGGGGTCTCCTACTGAGTGTTTTAATAACGTGAAAACAGCCTTCTAAACTCTCTCCTGATTTTATTCTCTAGATACAAAAGAAAATAAGAAAAATATTAAAAACAGACAAGATTCCTTGCAACCTAGTCACACAGTAAACAAGATTTACAGGCAAAGTTACAGGCAAAATGAAACCGAAATTTATCTTGCGAAATATTAACCTTTATGTGATCTGTTCCGTGGGGATTTTCCCTAAGGGTTGTGGTCTACTCGTTTTACGCTTCCAGGCAGTCCTAGTGATGATGAGCCATTAGAGACTCCCAAGGAAAATACAAAGCAATTAAGCCTAATCTATTACATAGCAGAGCTCACTTGAAAGTGATTCTTCCCTTGAGTTTTTCCAGTTGGCTGCACATCAGTGTTCAGTGCGATATCCACTATTTCCTAGCATGCTAGCTGGCAATGCCTCAGTGTTTCTGATATTTCTATACGCATGTACAGAATGCATATAAACTAGAGAAGCAGTCCACACACACCACTTTGGCTCTTACTTACTAGATGTGACAGAAACACTAATTACTAATTACTTACTAATAACTAATTACTTTGCCAAATAAGCCTTCAGATTTACTAAGAAGGTCAGAAAATAACTCAAATCTCACAGAACTTAAAACTGAAACATACTCCATACAGCTTTAGTTAAAACCCTGTATTTTATCACAGCAATTTATTCCTACCTGTAAAACTTCTTCTGCAGACAGATAGGTTTGCCAAAATTTGTTAAACAACGAAGGCTTGTGAGAAAATGCACTTTCAAACTAAAAAATAAGAAAAGGAACAAATATGGCATTTTGCAAGCAGCACAACAGAACCTCCACCTTTCCAAACACACCGTAAGTTATGTCAACAGCCAGTAGGCTTACTCTCGTACCTTATCCCTTGCCCACTGTATCGTATGCTCAATGGCAGCTGGGAAAGACTTCAAGGTGCAAAAAGGTATTTCTTCTTCTGGTGGATCCCGCTATATTTAAGGAGAGTTGCACATCAATACAGGCGTATTCAGGTTTACTGCTAATAACAGCACCAAGAATTTGTAGACTATTAAGGTTTGAAATTCCACTTACATTTAGGAGGAATATTTAGGAAGTTAATGGACTGCCTTAAAACAAAATTTGGTTTATAAATGCTAGCGTGTCACTTTGTTTATGAAGAACAATCTAAACTCAACACCACTAAAAACCATAAGGACAGGTAATAGGACGAAGGAGAAGCAAAACCGAACCCTAAAACAGACATAGTAGAAGTTAGCAGCTAGAGTTTTTCTAAGATGTGCAGTTCACGTTCACATACACTCACAAGGTGAAATATACCCTTTCATTCATGACCAGAAACACTTCTTTCTTCGTGGAACCTAACAAGACCGTATGGATGCTCAGCACCCATGCTCTGTGTCCACACATCTCCATTTCACGGTGCCCTCAACCACTGTATTTCTACCTGGAAAAGGTCATCACACAGGGGCTTAAATAGAGAGATTATACTTCAAATGTTTGAGGGTTAATTTCCCCATCCTAAGAGAACTGGTACACAGCCTTGGAGAAAAAGGCAGATTAATGCCTACCACAGAGGCTTCTGCTTTTCCTACTTTCCTGTGGAGGTGATAATGACCAAGAACGAACCACTTTCTGCAAGCTCTTTCCTAAGAAAGAAACTCATGAGCACAAAATCAGATTTCAATCCCCTTGTGGGACTGGCTTCTTAAGGGAGCTATTGGGAGGAGGGGGGGGTCAATCCCTTGAAAACACTTCAGAACTAGGGCTTTTTCCTCCCAAATTTTATTCAATAGCCGTTTTCTAACTATGGGATAGGATAGGCTCCTCTAACTCACAACAACAACCCAGACTTGTTACAGTCAAGCACATGAGTATCATGAAAAGAACACACTTCTTTAGCCTTAAGTGGCATTCAAGCAAATAAATAAATTGTGTCATTTCAAGAGTGAAATTTTTATTACAAAGTCATTCTCTCCCCAACACACACACACACACTCAAAAGAGGGGTTACCAAGGTTTCTGCTTCATGATTTATATTGTAGATGCTTTTAATTACTGGCCTAGGTGTAGTCACCAGCTAGGTAACAGGTATGTTATCTCAAGTTTGCTCATATTTTTCTTCCTCTGAGGTTTTCCTTATAAACCAAGGAAATAATTATTTTTAAATGGGGCTGCAACATCAATGGGCCACTTATTTTAGATAGATATATGAAACGTTAAAAAAAAAAACCCAGTGGGCACTGTGGGATTAGCTACAGAAAGTAAGTAATGGTCATAAGACACTTACATGACTGTTATAGGACTCTGTCAGATGAGGCACAATAACTTCTGTGTGTCCTTTAGTTCCCATAGTTCCAGAGTCTATAAGGGGACGCAGGTTCGCTACACAACGACTGACATGGATCGACACAGACAATCAGGATACAGAGCAACCACTACATTCTTGACTTGTACATCGTACTAGAAGGTAATCAAAAATTAATCTAGGTGCTTTCAGAGGAGTGAAGAGCTTACACCAGACTCAGAAACAGAAGATGTGAAACAGGGAAAGTTATTTCTAGTTAGATCAGGATACCACTTGGGTCAAACCTATTTTGGATTAGGAGCATTAATAATTCTATTTACACTTCGCTACTTGTAAAGTCTAGGTACACACTCTTCTGCATAAATAACTCAACCTTAAGATTATCACAGTATTTTCCCTCTCAAACAGACTTCAACAGCCCTTCATTTCCAAGAACTCACTCTGAGCCTCTCTGCCATGCGATCAGTAGCAGCAACACAACAGCAGAGTTTGTCTCTACCATGAACATAAACCCCCTCCTTCCCTCAGACTGCTGCCAGTATCTCTATCAAGGAGCAAGATAAATCCAACAGCTATCAGATCTCATTAGCACCTACAATACAAACATAAACCCCCTCCTTCCCTCAGACTGCTGCCAGTATCTCTATCAAGGAGCAAGATAAATCCAACAGCTATCAGATCTCATTAGCACCTACAATTCAGAAAGATTAAGAATAGGAAAGCAGAGGTCAAATAAGACCGACAAAAGCAACCCCCACTTCATTTCCACCACGTACCTATCAATGTATCTCCTTGCTTCAACATTGTCCAAAGCAGTCACAATCACATCTTGCTTGGTATAGAATTCATCGCCGTAAATGTTCTCAGTGGCTGGACAAACTTTATTAATGTATGAGTCAATCTTTAAGTGAGGATTGATGTTCAGAGTTGCTTCCGCTGCAGTATAGCTTTTAGGTTTCTAAAAATATAAATATATATAACTATATATATATAAAAACAATATTCACATGAATAATGTCTGGATCACAGAAGTATTGCCTTCATTTGCCGATCAGGCAAAATTTCGTTTCCATGGAAATGTTAGCATGCAAAACAAAGAGTAAAGAAAATTCTTTAAGTATATATCTCCCTGACAAATAATTCTCTTATTAACCTAGTTTAATTTGAGTTTTAATTATAAAATAATGGGTCAGATACCACGAGGAGAAAGTGCTTAAATAGCACAGCAGAAGTGTTTCAAGTCACTGAAACAGATGGCACGTGCTGCCTCTCACGCTTTCAAAAGGCCACAAGCAGTAGTTCAGGACTGCCAAAGGATAAACTCGTTAGTTACTGTGACTATGTCTATGCAGCATAGACATCACAAACCCATGAATGATCACATTGACGCAGCACATTCCACACAAAGCCAATTTCTAAAGCTAGACTGGAACAGAGTTCTTAACCTACCTGATACTTCTAGCCATTTTAAAAGACTATATTCAATTATCTAGAGATCAGCACTTAGAACGCTGGAACTCAATACCTTGTGACTTGTGAAAGCTTGCAAAGCTCACTCTCCATTTATCTATCTGTCCAAAATGCAATCTGTTCCCAGGTTTGCTAGACATAAACAGAAGGCAGAGAATTCAGTTTATAGGTTTTGGGCTCGGGAACCCCATTTCACATTGCTGTCCAGATCTGAGCAAACTTTTTCATTTTGTGCTGCATTTGCAAGAACTGGGATCCTCTTTCTACTTTTAAGGAACTAAGAATTTATACATTCAGTAAATGGATGATGCAGATACTTTTTTCCAAGCTATTTAACTGCTTAATGAAGAGTGAATTGAGACAGGATATATTTCTTATCAAGAGTCCATACAAACATGGGATTTAAACTGCAGCTCACCATAAAAGAGATCACAGAATCGTTTAGGTTGGAAGGGACCTCTGGAGATCATCTAGTCCAACCTCCCTGTTCAAGCAGGGACCTCTAGAGCACCTTGACAGGATCACATCCAGATGGGTTTTGAATATCTCCAGGAAAGGAGACTCCACAACCTCTCTGGGCAACCTGTTCCAATGCTCTGTCACCCTCACAGTCAAGAAGTTTTTTCTCAGGTTTAGGTGGAACTTCCTGTGGTTCAGTTTCTGCCCGTTGCCTCTTGTCCTGTTGCTGGGCACCACGGAGAAGAGACTGGCCTCATCCTCTTGACACCCCCCCACTTCAGATACCTGTACACATTGATGAGATCCCCTCTCAATCTTCTCTTCTCCAGGCTGAACAGGCCCAGCTCTTGCAGCCTTTCTTCAGAGGAGAGATGCTCCAGTCCCTTCATCCTCTTCGTAGCCCTTCACTGGACTCTCTCCAGTAGCACCTTGTCTCTCTTGTCCTGGGGAGCCCAGAACTGGGCACAGGACTCCAGGGGAGGTCTCACCAGGGCTGAGGAGAGGGGCAGGATCACCTCCCTC